GGCCGCACGCGGCTGGCGAACAGCGCCCGGCTGCCGGCGGCCCCCGCCTCGGACTGGTTCTGCTGGGGGGCCACGAACAGGAGGTGGGCGGCCGTGAGCAGCAGCCGGGCCCGGGGCTGCCGAGTCTCAATGACGTAGAAGATCTTGTGAGAGCCGTCCTCGCGGTCGAGGAAGGTGAGGAAGTCGCTGTAGAGCAGACGGCCTTCCGTGTCCGCCACCAGCACCCTGTCTCCAGGCCTCAGGTCCTTCACCAGCTTCGTCCCGCCTTTCTCCAGGTGCACCGTGGCCGAGCCAGGGAAGCAACCCCCGGATTTGGCCGCCACCGAGTTTTCTGTGCAAGGAGAGAGGCACAGCAGGGTTAGAGGAGGCACACTGGGCTGGGGCATGGGGCATGTGGGAACTTATCACTTCCCCAGCCACCCCAACCCACCAAGAAAGTGCAGGACACAGCCAGACTCCCCTCTGAAATTGCTCCACCCTCATCTAGGAACACGCCCCGTTTGCACTCAGTGGGTCAAATGAGAATTCCCTTCCTGCCAGATTTGAGCCAGTGCAAAATCTGCTCTGGGTTAGAAGTTACAAGAGTGATTTGTCTCATAAAGGAAATGGGCCAAAATATTTCCAATGAGAAAACTGTTCCAAAACAAAATCTCTTCTGGAAGAACTTCCCATTTGGCTACTGTTTGCTCTGCACTGACACCCGATGCCAGATAACCTACAGGCTTTCAAAGCCAAGTGGTTTTGCTGGCACAAAGTCTCTTCTCTAAGCAAGTGCCTGGGCTCTCGATGCGCAGGGTCCCCACACAGCTCTTACTCAAGGAGCACATCTAGGGCAGCAAACAGCAGAGAACAGGAGGAGACTTTCCTCCAGGGTGCACACAAATTTTGCCACTGCAAAGCAACAACTCAAATTTCCCAAATCCCCCTCTATCGTGCTGCACAAGCCCCCATGCTGCCTCCAGCCTCCCTGCTCAGCATGGTGGCTACTGGGGTACATCCCACCCTCGCAGCACCCCTGCCTGGCATCTCCAGCACTCTGCTTCAATCCTCTTTCAAAAAAGATAAAAACCTCTCCCTCCCCCCTAGAAGAAGGATGCTCTTCCTTTTCTCACAGCATGTGGTCCCTGTGCAAGGCCCAAGCAAATGCCTCCTCCACTTTCTCCAGCTCTCGGGAGTTACTCAGAGTTTAGAGCAGTTTAGAGTAGCACTGCTTTCCAGTGCTACTGAGAGCAACAATCTCAGACACAGAGAAAGCAAAAGCAGCAGTGAGACTCTGTGCAAAATCACTTTTTGGAAGCTCAGACACCAGGGAGGCAGTGGAAAAAACATCTGCTCTGTTTCAGGCTGATCTCTGTCTTAACAGAGGGACTTGCAGTGTTCCTAACTGCTCTGTTTTTTTAAAAATTGGGTAATACCCCAGAGTATGTAACGGTAGCGTCTTTGCTACAGCTGTTGGATTTCCCCATCCCTCCCTTGCCTTTCCCTGCTTTCTCACAGTTACTCCCTATACCAGTTAACAGACCTGGTGATTTAGCTCCTAAGGATGGACAGATTTTATATTTTGCCTCTGTGGCTGTTACTGAAATTCCTATGATTTAAACAAATCCTTGCAGTGTCTCCTAATGACTTTCTCAGGAAGGACAGGAAGGATGAAAATTAGACCATTATTGATTTGCTAATGACTTTATCACTTCTCCTTCAGAAATGAAGCAGCAAGATCTCCAAGGCCTCCCTCTTCAGGGAGGACATGGCAACAAACAAGCTATGTGCTTTATGTAGAGGCCTCTGCTAGCAAACTACACCTTCCTACAAGCTGGCGGTAAAGGTCTGGCTAGAGCTTTGTTTGCATATTCAGGGACTTGATGAATAGATGTAGTAGTGTAGCAGCTCTACAAACATGCCAGTGAATTGGCAGAGGTGTGAAAATCTGCTTCTTTGAGCAGTGCTTGTTTGGGTTCTCTAATTAAAATCCAATAAAGGATCAGCATTGTCATTCTGATTCATGTAATAAATGCAGACACTCTTGGAAGAGAGGACACTTCCATTTTTTTCCCAGCTTCTTCCCCCCCTTTTCTCCCCCTCCCTATTTGTTCAGGTGCAGAAACCCTATGTGCCAATTCACACACATACTCTCCAAAAAACCCAGGACCTTCCAAGCACTATTTGCACAGCAGAGCCACTTTTCCAAGGCACTCAAGATCTGTATTTGAATTTTAAATGTAGAAGCTTGCTCTAAATACTTGCTGTAGCGCATTATCAATGTCCCTTTTACCACCCCTGCCTCTCCCTCCTCTGTTCTGGTGACAATAATTCAGGCCTTGGGGGAACTCTTCTTTGCATTCCAGTCTCTTGGATCATACTTTTTGCAAACAGAGATCTAGATAAAGAATCTTCCTGCTGGCATTATGGGATTTAATCTTCTCATGAGATGCTCTGTCATGAAATGAGGTTTGGACAGTTTAAGATCAGGCTGAGAGAGTGGGATTCAAGCCTGCTCCCTTCAGCCTGCCTCGTACAGTCACACGACCCTGCCTGACACCCTCCAAATATTGCCCCCAAGTCCTTGTGTGCCGAATCTCAATGAGCAGCTTGGGGTGGCTCCTCTCCTGTGAAACACCCCTGGGGTGGATTAGGAGGAGCTCCTGGGCTAAGGTCACCGTGCACCACAATTGGACACCTTGCGCTACAAAGCCCATCTTGGCTATTGAAAGGGGTGTTTCGGATCTCCACACAGCTGACAGTTTTGCAGGGCCTCTTTTCGGCTAGAAAGGACTCAGGAGCTGAACAAAAGCAGTAGCAGGCTCTCAGAACAAAGCCCACATGGGCCAGGAGAGGTGCTCAGCCCCTGGGGAGCTCCAGGCTGGAGTGGGGGACACAAACCCCTCCTGCAGGTGGGCACGGCAGGGCCAGGCTGGTTTCCCTGCCGTGGGGCTGCTGGGCTCGAAGCAAACAGCTATATTTAAAGAAAGCCCAATATTTTCTTTTTCAGCCAAGTGTTTCCTGACACATCCAGCAGGTTGCTGGGCTAGAGTATGCTCTTAAAAAGAGCTTTAGATGTCATGCAGCTGGATGGAGGGAAGCCGTGGAGCTGGGGGCTGACACTCCTTAACAGATTTGCTCCCCCAAAAACGTGTCAAGTGTCAAGAAAAGGAACTCTGAGAGTCGGGAATTTCTTGCGAGCTGTTCCCGGGTTGAAACAGCGTGTGGCGTTGTAAGCACAGGGGAGGGGAGGAAAAAAAATTACGTGTATGTGTATCCCTATCTGGGAATTTCCTAGCGGCTACCACTGAAGGAGGCTGGGGACCACGTTACTTATTTATTTTCCTGGCCGGCTCCCACTCGGAGATTAGCGAGTAAGGCGTGCAGCCAGCGGGGCGGCTGGAGACGGCCACGAGAGTTTGTGTTGAACTTGTTCCTTGGGTACGGAAAGCATCAGACCCCACGGGGGGAGGAGAAGGAGAAGCTGCGACGCAGCTCTCGTGGGAAGGCCGGCCAAGCAAATCACCCAAATAAAAGCGCTATGGAAAACTGCTGCAGTTGGATCGGCTTTTTGTTTGTTTGTTTGTTTTCCTTCGCCCTCACTCTTTCCTTTCCCCCACCTCTGCACCGGCGGGGGAAGGCGGGGGAAGGCCGGCTGAGCCCTCGGGCCTCTGCTCTCATCCCCGCGGGAGCCCCGGCGGGGCAGGCGGGGTGATGGGGACCCTGCAGGGACGAAAGGAGGGAGCCCGGCGGCAGAGACAGGGCACAGAAGGCTCTAGGGCGCTGAGTCGGGGCCCGGGGCTGCCTCCCCACCTCGACACGTCCCTGGGCAGGCTGCTCGCCTTACCTGCTTTGACGGAGCAGTGGATGTGCGCCTTGGACTCGTAGTAGACCCAGTCGAAGCCAGCCTCGACGGCCAGGCGGGCCAGCATGCCGTACTTGCTGCGGTCCCGGTCCGAGGTGGTGATGTCCACGGCGCGGCCCTCGTAGTGCAGGGACTCCTCGGAGTGGTGGCCGTCCTCGTCCCAGCCCTCGGTTACCCGCAGCTTTACCCCGGGCCACTGGTTCATCACCGAGATGGCCAGAGCGTTCAGCTTGTCCTTGCAGCGCTATGGGGAAAAGGGCAGACAGGGAAGGGTTATTGTGGGGGTGCTGCAGACAGGGGGAACACCCTCCCTGCGCTATCTGTGCCCCCTTGGGCCGCATCCTGCTCTCCCTCTCCAGCCAAAGCAGCGGCATTCCTGCCCCCCCCGCCAAACGCGCCCCGGGATGGGCTCAGCCAGGGCTGAGCATCTCCTCCGCTGCCAGGGAGGGAAGGGGAGGCAGGTGAGGAGGAGAATGAAACCTGGGGACACAGGATGAACAGAGGATGAAACACCGCGAGGACCCACGGAGATGGACCTTTCTCCTCCCCTGGCACCTGCTGCGGGGACAGGGGGACCCCCCCTCCGCCGCACCTCTGGTGCTGGGGTGTGAGCGTGGCGATCCAAAACCACCTGCATGGAGCAAATTCCTGCCGCTAAGTGCCCTGTCCCTTCCCGAGAGCAAAGTTTCTGCCCAGAACAAACACTCGCCATATATCTCGGAGTCACGGATTCCCCCCCGGAATGTCTCTGCGGGTCTTTTCAGCTTAATTCTGTGTTGAAAAGGGTATCAATACATGTTAACAGCCTTTATGTGCTGAAGGGAGGGGTGTTTTTTTTTCTTCTCTCCCTTCGCCCATCACTCATTAGAGCCCTCAAAGCTGCATGGGTTGGGAGCATTCACTCTGCTTCAAACATACATCGGCGCTCGCCTACAAAGCCGAGCAAATCCATACAATAATATAGCTCTTAGTGGGAAGATGAAAAGCAAGGGAGGGCCAAGGAGGGAAGTTAAGCGGAGCAGGGATGCTATGCAAGCTAGGACCCCCTTTGTGTGGAGTAAAACCCTTCCAACTCCGTGGAGAAAGTACTGCAGGGTTTTTCATTTACCCTTCAGAGCCACCAGCCTTCCCTGGGCTGAACTAGGCCCAGCAGCACCGAGAGCACGTAGGGACCGAGTAATGAGTGGCACAGGAAGGGATGAGGAAAAGAGATGAGCTGAAACCCTGAAAGTTTTGGGGAGATTCCCATCTTAGCCAGGCAGGGAATAGACACAGTGGCAATGGGGGAAAAGGACTCTCAGCCCGCAGAAACAGGAAATCAGCACCGAAAGCATTGAAAAGCTCTTGGCTAAAGGTACAGAGTTAGCAACACACACGTTGCCAGCTTTCTTACTCCTTTTTGAGAGGAAAACAACTCATGGCTATACCCGATGTTGTTCTTTTGATGCAAATACCGATGTGGCTGCAAGCCACGGTGGGATGCAGTAAGCTGCTCTTCCCACACTTTTGCTGGCCTGTCTGGTGGGCTTGGCCTTCTGCAGGACCATTCTCCCCAGTGTTCTCCCAGCACAGGCGGTAACAGACCACAAAGTCCCCCTTTCACAGCTCCCAGGAAAGTAAAGCCCCTCCAGTACTCCGACGACGCTACTTTTAGGGACGTGACAAGGTTGCTTAGCAAGGAAGTTCCCATGTGTTCACCAACAGCCATAAAAGTGATTCCAGCAACACACAGGCACCCGAGAGATATAAAACACAGTCGTGAGCTCACTTTGGACTCTCTGGCCTACCGTTTTATGGAGAGAGACGGGTGTTTGGGTTTCGGCACCATTCCCGGCAGCAAAGTGCAGCAGCACAAGGAAGTTGAGTTTGATTTATTTGGTTTTTTCCCCCTCTCTCCCTCTCACACCTGAGTGGATAGATATGCTCCCTCACTGATTTACAGGGGAAAGGGGGAGAAGAATCAAAAGTCTCAGCTGCTGATGACACGGCGATGTCTTGCCCCGCACGGAGGAGCGGGCGCGGCAGGGACGCGGACAGCGGTGCGGGCTCTGGCCGCTCCGGCCCTGCCAGCACCACTTCCCGGCTCCAGGAGAAATAAAGAAGAAACGGCCTCCTAAAAAGACTTTTCTCCCTTTTATACTGCCTGAGCTGGATTGTCAGAGTCAAAAGCCGTGAAGCCCGGACTATTTATTAATTCATCGGGTCGTGTGCCACAAATCAAGCCCAATTCTGTTCAGCCACCGTGAAGCTCAGCAGGGCTGCCTCCACTAACGCTTTGTGTGGAGGCAAAGTTGTTCAACAAGCCCTCTCCTGCCAGCTCCTAATCTCTTCACAAATGAATTGCTTGAAGGAAACACTTAACAGGTACCTGTCAGTGTAAACAACCTGGTGGGCTTCCTAAATGCCAAGTTGATCTCTAAATTCCTCACATCACGCACCGGTTGTGTGCCTGCATTACACGAGATTGCTATTTTATTTCATACAAATTCCAGCTTTATCATACTGACCTGGCCTCCTTATCTCTCTCCCGAATCCAGCCAATGGCCGGGGTGGTGGGGAGGAAAGGGAGGAAGGGGGGAGCCCTTAGCAAACTGCTGGTGTCACCTGTAAAGTTGAGAACCTGACTTACCTACCTCTGTTTGCGTTTACCCCCCCACCCCTCCTGGAGTTAATATTAACTAGCGGCTAATGCATTCGGCAACCACTCTGCAAGTTTAACGATTCTGTCCATGAAAGATCTCTCCATGGTTGAAGGACTCCCGAAGCCGGCGTTTAAAGGCTGGGATTTAACGAGAGGTTGCTGGCCGAGGGAGACAGGGAAGGAAAGGAAAGCGAGGCAGGGAGGCCAGCGGCAGGACCGCACCCCGGGTCGCCGAGGACCCGGCCGTGGCCGGGGAACGGAGAGCAAGGGCAGCCAGTCCGCTCCGCTTCCCCTCTCGCTGCCTGGCCCAGGGCTGCCG